AATGAGCTCACAAGTTACAAAGGAAAATGAATTCTGTAGAATGGTTACTTACGTTTATACATGGCTACAATCATGAACAAATTATAGAGTAATGAGCAATTCACACTTCCACACCCGGTCACAACTGTAGTGAGTTATTGGTGCAAATCACCTAGTTGAGGTTGCAGGGGTCGAGTCCGAACTCCTGGCCCCGAGTGTGTGTGTGTGTGTGTGTGTGTGTGTGTGGTGTGTGTGTGTGTGTGTGTGTGTGTGTGTGTGTGTGTGTGTGTGTGTGTGTGTGTGTCTGTGACTCAACAATTAATATTTGCACCAGTAACTAATTACAGTTGTGACCGGGTGTGGACATGTGAATTGCTCACTATATAATTTGTTCATGATTGTAGCCATGTATAAACGTAAGTACGTTAATTTACTTACATGATTCATTGCCTTTGCAACTTGTGAGTTCATTACCTTTGCACCTTGTTCAGCTATCAAAACTTTGGGGCCCAGTCCCTGGACCCATTAATCTGCAAATACCTTTGTAACTTGTCATGATTGTTACCAGATCTACCTGGAGTTCATTACCTTTGTAACTTGTCATGATTATGAAAACTTTGGAGTCCAGTCCCTGGACCCATTATGTACCTCTGTAATCTTTTGACTACCGCCCACAGGATGGGTATGGGGTACATAATAACATATTAAACAAAAGCTCCTTTTTATGGACTGATGAAGTTATTGTGTGGCGAAACGTCTCCTCATTAAAAATACCCAAGTGTTACACATGTGTCTAATTTATCAACCTGTCGATTTTCTGAACCATTCATATGCATTACGTTAGTTTTGTCCCAGGATGCGACCTACACCAGTCGACTAACACCCAGGTACCCATTTTACTGATGGGGAACATAGACAACCGTGTAAGGAAACACGTCCAGTGTTTCTACCCTCGCCGGGAATCGAACCTAGACGTCACCGTGTGAAGCGAGAGCTTTAGCCACCAGGCCACGAGCCTGGTATCTACTGGGAAGACTTGTTGCCCAGAGCTGGGCCATAAAACAAAAAGGAATAATAGTTCCTTTGCAAATAGAAACAGGAACTAGAAATTCTCAATTTGATCAAGTGGCCCTCCTTGGCACGCCCTAGCACAGCGGGACACCCACACCTAAGTTCAGTAACCGGCTTCCCACCAATACCGTTTAAGAATTATCCGCCGAGCGGAAAAATGGAGCTGACTAAAAGTAAGCCGATAATAAGTGTCCCTCCTGTAATGTGCTCCTCCTATAATGTGCCCGGTGGGCAAAGTAGATGAGGACAAGTGTCCCAGAGAGAGCGGGGTAAATTTGTCACTGATACCCAGGTGAGAGTGAGACACCCGCACTCGACAATATGCGAACACATACTAAATCGTTCAACCAGTTTGAAACTACTCAAGAAATCCCCAAAAAATTAGGACACCTTGATAAGATAAGGTAAGATTTCGTTCGGATTTTTCCCAGGATAACCCAAGAAAGGCAGTGCGTCATCGAGGACTGTCTTATTTCCATTGGGGTCATCAATCTTGTCCCCCCAAGATGCGACCCACACCAGTCGATAACACCCAGGTACCTACTTGCTGCTAGGTGAACAGGGCAACAGGTGTAAGGAAACGCGTCGACATGTTTCTATCACGCCGGGAATCGAACCCGGTCACTTCGTATGTGAAGCTTTGCCAACCAGGCTTAAAATTGAACTGTTGTAACATTGTAAATTGTACTAATTATAATACTGTTATTTTTTACTACTTTTCTACTTTAATTTTTTAATTATAATATTTTGTTAGCTCTTTATTTCCAGAAGTACATGTACAAGGTATACAGGCCTAGCTGATATCAATGACATACTACTATATAGAAAGTCGCTTGTTATGCGGAGCATTTCGGACAAATTAGGTAATTTTTGTCCCAGGATGCAACACACGCCAGTCGACTAACATCCAGGTATCCATTTTACTGATAATTTTTTTTTAATGGGTGACCATGGATAACAGGTGTAAGGAAACACGCCCAATGTTTTCACCCTCGCCGGGAATCGAATCCGGACCCCTCAGCGTGTGAAACGAGAGCTTTGCCTACCAGGCCACGAGCCATGAGCTGGCAAGGACCCCAATAGAAATAAATAACTTGGTTTTTTTCCGGGTTATCTTAGGTAATTTACACTATGTATGGTAATTGTACTTATGTGTACCTATGTCTAAATAAATTTACTTTTTCTGTTTATAAAGGATCTCCTGTTCCCTTTTGTTTCCTGGTTCAGCTTTGGTCAATACTTCTTCCTTGTACAGCAGCCAAACTGGACTCCATGTCTAGTTCTTAAGTAGTGTTTAAGCATTAGGATTAGTCTGCCAGAAATACATCGCATGCTTTTTACCTTTCTTTTGTGCCTAACAATATTTGATGACATAAAGTACACTACTTGTATTCTGCAGGAAAGAAAGATTTTTTTTTTGTATTTGTAGTGTGTAAAGTGCGAGTGACCTTTAACAAACCCAACAACAAGAGGCTTAGCTGAGGCTTCTCTATCACCAGTGTTTTTTTAGTGGAATATCAAATATTTATTTTGAGAGTGTACTGTATGCTGTAGTGTGTACATTAACTATATGGAGTAATTGAAAAATATGGAATGACTAATATTTGTAGTGATGTAACGATATTCAGTGTGTAGTGAGACATGTTGATATACTGTTACTCTCAGAATGAACTGCCAGTGTATAATAAACTACCTGCTTAAGAAACACAACTATCCATGAGGGCTTTTGATCCAAGAAATTGGATCTACTCTCCCCTTAAATGAACCTAATTGCTTCTCATTTCCTCAGGCGCTACATGACCCCTAAGGATTTAACATTATCCCCCTTAATATATTTCTCTGCCTTACAGCGCTGTATAACCCTGCTGGTTTAGCACTTAGTTTTGATTGTAATAATAATTAAGAAAATACATAGAATAATAATAACATAACCATGGAATATAATAAAGCAGGCACAAGTAATTAGAATGCAGAGTTGCAACTGTAATTTTTATAATGAATCCATAGAAAAGAAGAAATTTAACTTTCTCTGCTATGTTGGTGGTGAAGGCATCACAAGGGAAGGACTAACATACTAAGTGTTCTACTATTTGAGTGGTGAAGGCATCACAAGGGAATTACTTAAGATGATAAGTGTTTTGCTATCTGTGTGGGAGACATTCCAGCAAAGGCAGAACCATTAGAGAGGAGGGTGAACAAAAAAAGTGCATCAGGGCATTGGAAAACGACTCTTGAAGAGTAGCTTGCATGTTCTTGGATGAAAAAAGACAGTCTTACATTGCATTCATCACGTGCGGTGCTTGTGCTCAAATTGTCTACCACTGCTTGATTTTTTTCTTAAGTCCTAAGTCCATTCACTGCTGTTGAACTAGGATAACAGTGTTATACAAGGATATGCCTCAGACCAAATTTGCATAGTGATGAGCCACTCTAGTGACCAGGGACCACACTACTGACCAGGGACTACACTACTGACTAGGGACTACACTATTGACCAGGGACTATACTACTGACTAGGGACCACACTACTGACTAGGGACCACTCTACTGACCAGGGACCACACTACTGACCAGGGACCACACTGCTGACCAAGGACTACACTGCTGACCTGAGACCACTCTACTGACCAGGGACTACAGTACTGACTAGGGACTACACTATTGACCAGGGACTACACTACTGGCTAGGGCCTACACTACTGACTAGGGACCACACTACTGACCAGGGACTATACTACTGACTAGGGACCACACTACTGACAAGGGACCACACTACTGACAAGGGACCACACTACTGACAAGGGACCACACTACTGGCCAGGGACCACACTACTGACTAGGGACCACACTACTAACTAGGGACCACACTACTAACCAAGGACTACACTACTCACCAGGGACTACACTACTGACCAAGGACCATACTACTGACTAGGGACCACACTACTGACTAGGGACCACACTACTGACTAGGGACCACACTACTGACTAGGAACCACACTACTGACCAGGGACTACACTGCTGACTAGGGACCACACTACTGATGAGGGACTACACTATTGACCAGGGACTACACTACTGGCTAGGGACTACACTACTGACTAGGGACCACACTACTGACTAGGGACTGCACTGCTGACTAGGGACCACACTACTGACGAGGGACCACACTACTGACCAGGGACCACACTACTGACCAGGGACCACACTACTGACCAGGGACCACACTACTGACCAGGGACCACACTACTGACTAGGGACCACACTACTGACCAGGGACCACACTACTGACTAGGGACTACACTACTGACTAGGGACTACACTATTGATCAGGGACCACACTACTGACTAGGGACTACACTATTGACCAGGGACTACACTACTGGCTAGGGCCTACACTACTGACTAGGGACCACACTACTGACCAGGGACTATACTACTGACTAGGGACCACACTACTGACAAGGGACCACACTACTGACAAGGGACCACACTACTGACAAGGGACCACACTACTGGCCAGGGACCACACTACTGACTAGGGACCACACTATAACTAGGGACCACACTACTAACCAAGGACTACACTACTCACCAGGGACTACACTACTGACCAAGGACCATTACTACTGCTAGGGACACACTACTGACTAGGACACACTATGATAGGGACACACTTACTGACTAGGAACCACACATATGACAGGGACATACACTGCTGACTAGGGACCACACACTGTTGATGGACTTCACTATTGACCAGGGACTACATTGGCTAGGACTACACTACTGATGGGACACCTACTTGACTAGGGCTGCATGCTGGAATAGGGACACACTACTGACGAGGACCACACTATGACAGGACCACATACTGACCAGACCACATATGACCAGGACACATACTGACCAGGACCACACTACTGATAGGGACCACACTACTGACCAGGGACACACTTACTGATCAGGGACTACACTACTGATAGGGACTACACTATTGATCAGGGACCACACTACTGACTAGGATACACTACTGACCAGGTTACACTACTGACTAGGGCCACACACTGACCAGGACGAATACTGATAGGGATACATATGACTAGGACTACACTACTGACTAGTGACTACACTACTGACTGGACCACACACTGACTAGGATTCACTACGACTAGGGACTACACACTGACTGGGACTTACACTATGACTAGGGACTAACTACTTACTAGGGACTACATTATTCTCTACATCAAGTTTATAATTGAATTTCCTTTTCAGGTTGAAATTATCATATGAATACATCACACTAGTTGATAAATAACTGTTTATTGCATATTCCCATGTACAGTAAAGTTCTGTAACTTATTATATTTTGCTTTTTATTACAGGAATAAAATGACTTAGAAGACAATGTTTTTCAAACTATGATTCTACCAAGAAGTGATAATGATCATCAACACTTGCAACACAAATGTTTGTAAATTCTTTCTTCAAGGTCACTCTTGCATTCAGAGCTGGTCTGAGGCGGAGCTTCACTACCTTGTCTTCCCATTGTCTTCATCTGCTGCCTCAGTCGAGCATCCCAGGCAGTGTGTCGAAGGTTTGGTTATTCTTGCACTTGCACTGTGACCTAACTAGGTGGCTACATGTTGCCACATGCTACTCCTACATTGAAAAGGATCGAATTGACAGTAAGATGGTTCGTGTTCTTAATGTGGCTGAAAAGAATGATGCAGCAAAAAATTTGGCTGAAATTATGTCCAGAGGAGGCTACAGTAGGGTAGGTTACATAGAGTGGTATTGTAATTGTACCAGTAAACATACTATTTTGTGTTGCTTCATGCATTTTTATTTTTAACAGTGTGTAAAATAGTTTATCAGTTGGAATGAAACATCTTTGTATGTAATTTTAAATTTTTCAGATTTTTTTTGGCTGTGTATTCATTTATAAAATACAGTGGAACCTCGGTACTCAAACTTAATTGGTTCCAGAAGGCTGTTCGAGTACAGAACAAATTTTTCCAAACAAGTTTTCTTTCTGGTTGGCTGTTATCACTAACCCTCTTAGGCCCCATGGTGACCTACTTATACAGATACTATAAAAAATGCAAAGAAACATGAAATAGTTTACAGCGAAGTTCTGGCAGGTCGTGTTTGTTTGGTCAACTACCAAGCTATTTGTTAACCGAACAAAGCGTTCGAGTACCAAATTGTTTGACTATGGAACTGTTCGAGTACCGAGGTGCCACTGTATATAGAGTGGTCACTTTTATTTTTTAACTGATGGAAGCAGCAGGGCAATCTGGGTAATCAGAATTCTGGTTAAACATATAGATTTTTTGGAGGGGATCAGCCTGTAATAATACAGTTTTTTGGACACACTAGCTTTCTCCCACTTAGGTAAGGTGAGCATAATAAAAGAAATAGATTCAATTCTTAATGATGAGCTTGTTAAGATATACACAATAGGGCCAAAACTTAAGAGTTTGAACTTACGACATTGGCATTTTGGAAACAGTTAATTACTTATGAACAGTGACTCACTCTTCTGTCATCCCTGTGAGGGTAGAAGCATTGGCTGTGTTTTCACATTGGTTGTCTATGTTCACCCATCAGTAAAATGGGTACCTGGGTGTTAGTCTGACAAGTGTCTGACAAGTTGTACAAGATGCAGAACCTCCATGACTACGGTGTTCTTCACACCCACTCCAAGGCTGAGGGACTGATTGCCTCATCTTCTGTAAATAGTTCTACTGGTCTGCGTGGGGATGTGGTCAGAGCGGGTTGGCGGACAGGTCCGGTACCCGGTGGTTCAAAAATAGGGGCGAGTTTGATAATAGGGACAAAGTTGGTTCGAAAAAAGCGGTTGATTTTCGAAGAGCTCGATAAGCGATATGTTCGAAATTTGAGGTTCCACTGTATTGATAAAGCCATTGGATGGCGAAACGTCTACAATAAAGATACCCAGATGTTGCACATGTGTCTCAATTTCATCTTGTTGGTATTGTATACCATTCTTGTACAACTTGTCAGACACTGCAACATCATGGAATCTTGATTCTGAGGACATGTACATAACCTTCTTCACGGCTACGACAACTACTACTACAACTAACTCATCTCTTTGGGTAGGACCTACTTCCACTGGGGAATCCTGCCTACCAGTGACTATGCCCTCGTCTGCTACATGTCCCCTTTCCACCTGACATTAGTGTATAAGCACCAGGCTCCTTGCCTCTGATGCAGAACCTCCACGACTATGGTGTTCTTCGCACCAACTCCAAGGCTGAGGGACTGATTACCTCATCTTCTGTATATAGTTCTACTGTCTTCAAATTATGTCCTTGAATTTGTATTGATGAAGCCACTGGATGGCGAAACGTCTACAATAAAGATACCAAGATGTTGCACGTGTCTTAATTTCATCTTCCACTTATACACTTCAATCATGTCTCCTCTCATTCTTCGTCTAACAAGTGAATGTAATTTAGGAGTCTTCAATCTTTCTTCATACGGAAGATTTCTAATGCTATATATTAATTTAATCATTCTACGCTGAATGTTTTCTAATGAATTTATGTCCATTCTGTAATATGGAGACTAGAATTGAGCTGTGTAATCTAGGTGAGGCCTTACTAATGATGTATAAAGCTGTAATATAACCTCTGAACTTCTGTTGCTTACACTTCTTAATATTCTTTCTTTCAATGCACCAGCCTTATCCCACCGAGGGGGGGGTGGCCCAAAAGCAAAAACAAAAGTTTCTCCTTTTAAATTTAGTAACATATACAGGAGAAGGGGTTACTAGCCCCTTGCTCCCGGCATTTTCGTTGCCTCTTACAACACGCATGGCTTACGGAGGAAGAATTCTGTTCCACTTCCCCATGGAAGTAAGAGGAAATAAACAAGAACAAGAACTAGAAAGAAAATAGAAGAAAACCCAAAGGGGTGTGTATATATATGTTTGTACATGTATGTGTAGTGTGACCTAAGTGTAAGTAGAAGTAGCATGATGTACCTGAAATCTTGCATGTGTATTAGACAGAAAAAAAAAGACACCAGCAATCATACCATCGTGTAAAACAATTACAGGCTTCAGTTTTACACTCACTTGGCAGGACGGTAGTACCTCCCTGGGCGGTTGCTGTCTACCAACCTACTACCTAGGACTTCTTAATATATATCCCAGTAAGCTGTTTGCCTTATTACGTACACTTAGGCATTATTGTCTTGGTTTAAGGTTACTGCTTATCATAACTGCCAAGTCCTTTTTGCAATCTCTATGGCTAAGTTCTACATTATTTAACTTATAAGTGCTAGGATTATGGACACTCCCGTGCTTCAGAACCTTGCATTTATCTACATTGAACTGCATCTGCCACTTTTCTAACCAGGTACTGAGTTTGTCTAAATCCTCCTGAAGTTCCCTGATATCTACATTTGAATCAATTATTCTATCTTTGTGTCATCGGTGAATTTGCTCATATCACTTGTAATTCCCTCATCAAGATCATTGATATATATTATAAACAACAACGGGCCCAAGACTGTTCCCTGTGGAACACCACTTGTTACAGATCCCCACTCGGATTTAACCCCATTTATGCACACTCTCTGCTTCCTGTCTGTGAGCCATGACTCGATCCATGAGAGCACTTTTCCCCCAGTGCTATGAACTGCCACTTTCTTTAACAGTCTTTGGTGTGGTACTCTATCAAAAGTCTTACTGAAATCTAAATAAGCAATATCAAATTCTTTATTGTGATCAACAGCCTCAAATGCTTTACTGAAGAAAGTTAATAAATTAGTTAGACAAGAACGGCCTCTCGTGAATCCATGCTGAGTATCATTAATCAGTTTATGCTTATCCAGATGGCTTCTTATAATCTCAGCTATAACTGACTCTAGCAATTTGCCTACAATTGAGCTCAGGCTTATCGGTTGGTAATTTGATGGTAACGACTTGTCTCCTGCTTTACAAATAGGAATTACATTAGCCATCTTCCACATATCAGACACTACACCTGTTTGAAGAGATAAATTAAAAATATTAGTAATGGTTCACAGAGTTCCATTTTGCATTCCTTAAGAACCCTTGAAAAAAGCTCATCAGGACCTGGCGATTTATTTTGTTTCAATCGGTCTATTTGTTTCATAACCATTTCACTAGTAACTGTAATGTTACATAATTTATCTTCTTCAGGCCCACTATAAAAATTAATTACTGGGATATTGTTAGTGTCTTCCTGTGTAAAAACCGAGAGAAAATAATTATTTAAAATAGAGCACATTTTGTTCTCTTTGTCAGTAAGATGCTCATAGTTATTTTAAAAGGGACCTATCTTATCTCTAACTTTTGTTCTGTACACCTGGAAAAAACTTTTTTGGGTTAGTTTTCGAATCCCTAGCAACTTTAATTTCATACTCCCATTCAGCTTTTCTTATTCCCTTTTCAATGTCCCTCTTAATGTCAATATACTGATTCATAAGATGACCCTCACCTCTTTTGATACATCTATAAATTCCTTTCTTCTGCCCTAAAAGATATTTGAGCCTATTATTCATCCATTTTGGGTCATTTTTATTTGATCTAATTTCTTTATATGGGATAAATGTTCCTTGGGCAGCATGTATAGTGTTCAGAAAGCTGTCATATTGATAGCTTTCTTCGTTACCCCAGTCAAGAGATGATAAGCGAAAATCTGGGACCATTACTGAATTATCCCTACTGTCGTACTTCCATTCTATGCTACAGGTAATTGATTTGTGATCGCTTGTGCCGAGTTCCTCTGTAATTTCTAAATTATTAACAAGGGTTTCGTTGTTTGCCAGAACCAAGTCAAGCAAGTTATTTCCCCTTGTAGGTTCTGTCACAAACTGCTTCAAAAAATAGTCCTGAACTACTTCTAAGAAGTCATTTGATTCTAAATTCCCAGTCAAGAAATTCCAATCAATCTGACTAAAGTTGAAGTCCCCCTAGAATTACTACATTATCATGCCTTGTGGCCTTAACAGTTTCCTCCCATAGTAATCTCCCTTGGTCCTTATCTAAGTTTGGGGGACGGTATATCACTCCTAGAATCAATTTTTCTTGCCCCTCTGAAAATTCTATCTACACAGGCTCGGTATGTGTTACTTCAGACTTAATACCCATTTTTACGCAGCAGTTCAAGCGATCTCGGACATACACTGCCACCCCACCCCCTTACCGATACTTCTATCTACTTGGAACAGTTTAAAACCCTGAATGTGACATTCCGCAGGCATGCCCCGACTTTTGGAATTAAACCATGTCTCAGTGATGGCAAATACATCAATGTTACCTGCACTAGCTACTAATCTCAACTCGTCCATTTTATTCCTAGCACTATGGCTTTTAGCATAATATATTTTTAAAGACCCTCCTTTCTCTTTACCCTTCCTGCTAATTTCTGTTTTTCCACTAAACCTATTACTGTCCTTGTCACCTAGTGCCACTGGCTTTCCAGTATCCACCTCATTCTGCCTATTACTAGTTCCCCTAGAACTCATAATATTACTACACTGGGGCTTCACTGTATTCCCGCCAAAACCCATGCCACTAACTATTCCTAGTTTAAAGCCCTAACAGCTCCCTCCACTGCAGTTGTCAGTGCCTCCACCCCAGACCTAGATAAGTGAACCCCATCCCTGGCATACATGTCATTTCTGCCATAGAAGAGGTCCCAGTTGTCAATGAATGTTACTGCATTTTCCTTACAGTACTTGTCCAGCCAGCAATTGACACCAATTGCCCTGGACAACTATTCGTTTCCAACTCCTCTCCTTGGCAAAATACCACATTTGAGAGGGTTCCCACCCTTCTTCCTAATTATCTCTATTGCTGACCTATACCTGCTAATCAGGTCCTCACTCCTGCGTCTGCCGACATCATTGCTTCCCCCACTGAGGCAGATAATAGGATTGCTCCCATTACCTTTCATGATGTCGTCCAGACGGCTAACAATATCTCCCTCCACTGCAGTTGCCAGTGCCCCCACCCCAGACCTAGATAAGTGAACCCCATCCCTGGCATACATGTCATTTCTGCCATAGAAGAGGTCCCAGTTGTCAATGAATGTTACCGTATTTTCCTTACAGTACTTGTTCAGCCAGCAATTGACACCAGTTGCCCTGGACAACCATTCGTTTCCAACTCGTCTCCTTAGCAAAATACCACATTTGACAGGGTTCCCACCCTTCTTCCTAATTATCTCGATTGCTGACCTATACCTGCTAATCAGGTCCTCACTCCTGCGTCTGCCGACATCGTTGCTTCCCCCACTGAGGCAGATAATAGGATTGCTCCCATTACCTTTCATGATGTCGTCCAGATGGCTAACAATATCCCCCCATCTCAGCCCCAGGAAAACATACCCTCTGCCTCCTCTTCCTGTCCCTAAGACAAAAGGCCCTATCCATAAACTTAACCTGAGTGTCTCCAACTAAAACAATGTTCTTGCCTTCACTTGTGGAATTTGTCGTGACGTTCTTGATGGTCTTTGTTGGGGTTCAAGGGATGTCTCATTCACGTCTGCCAAAGCTTCCTTGGTGCTCGTTGTGACGCTCACAGTAGACAACCCACATTCGTCAGGTAGCACCGAAAATGGGTTGGAAGTTTCCACAGTTGTCTTCTGGTTCTTCGTTGTTTCTGCCTCTCCAACGGTCTTCTTGATCCTCAGCTTGGTTCCATGTTGCCTGGCCACTGACCAGGTTCAGGACAACTATTATTATTTTCTTAAGTATGAATTATCAATAATATATTTTTCTTTTTTATATTTTTACCAAATCCATTTAGATTTTCTGTAAATTTTATTTAAACATGGAGAGCTCTTATTTGGTTGGTAAAGATTGGTTGTGAATGATTCAAAATTTACATTGTGTTAGTACAATACTTTAATGGTTGGCGGTGAGGAAGGAGTAATGGAGGTTAATGTGGTAGGGAGGCGGGTGGGGGGATAGGAGGGTTGGCTGTAGGTGGGCCTGGGGTAAGGACTGGTGCTAAAACTTGCCTGAGATCTGTAACAGAGGGTTACAGCTGTGGAGAGGGTTTTGGGGGTCAATGCCCCCCATGGCCCGTCTATGACCAGGCCTCGTGGTGGACCAGGGCCTGACATAATACAAGAAATAAATATTTTTTATATCTCATGTGTTTGATTCTATCTGAGTAGAAACTCCATGCAAATTAAAGTTCCAAAGATACAGAAAACTCTTCCAAAAGATTCTTAGAATTGTCTGTCTGACACATGCTTCAAAAATATTTGTAAAACACCTGAATTTGATGTAAATTTACATAGTTTGAGTTTAAATGTCATATATGTTATAGTGATACTATATACTGTACTAATGCACTGTATTTATATTAGTATCACCTAATTTTTTAAGATTTTTGTTCATTTTGAATAATAAACTTTTTGTTTAGCAAGAATCAGGATGAGAGACTTGTTTCAAAAAGTCCTAATGTATAAAGTATATATTTCATTTAACTTCTCAAAACAGAGAGATGGCTATAGTGTGTACAACAAGATTTATGAGTTTAACCTGATGCTAAATGGTCAGCAGTGCCACATGGTGATGACGTCAGTGTCTGGCCACTTACTCAGCCATGAGTTCACAGGCAACTACCGCAAGTGGTTAGGGTGCAATCCACTCCAACTTTTTGATGCTCCAGTAGTTAAGGGCTGCATACAGAACATGGACCCCATAAAAGTGAGTACTTGCATAATTTTCAAAATTGTAAATACTTTCTAGGAGTGAATTCATTGAAAACAGTTTAATACGTATGAATGTCATCTATTTCTCATTTTTGTAATTAGGAAATATTAATTATCCTCAAATGGAGATCTTTAAGTGTTTGCCCAATTTTTTTCCCTTTTATCATTTTTTCCTTCAAACTTTTGTTTATATCTTGAGAATACATCATCTGATTGGCTTAGAATTTTCAATGGTTATTTATTGATATTCTCAAACCTCTACCACTTGGTATTCTCACACCTCCATCACTTGGTATTCTCACACCTCCACCACTTGGTATTCTCACACCTCCACCACTTGGTATTCTCACACCTCCACCACTTGGTATTCTAAACACCTCCACCATTTGGGTATTCTCACACCTCCAATCACTTGGGTATTCTCACACCTCCACCACTTGGTATTCTCACACCTCCATCACTTGGTATTCTCACGCCTCCACCACTTGGTATTCTCACACCACTTCCACTTGGTATTTATCCTCACACTTGGCCACAGTGTCACATAAGTCTAGAAACCAGGATTTTTATATAATCCATTTATGGTGATAGTCCACACTGTTGTTACAGATCTCTGTCGGTTGTGATAATCCACACTGTTGTTACAGATCTCTGTCAGTTGTGATAGTCCACACTGTTGTTACAGATTACTGTTAGTTTTGATAGTTCACACTGTTGTTACAGATCACTATCGTTGTGATAGTCCACATTGTTGTTACAGATTACTATTGGTTATGATAGTCCACACTGCTGTTACAGATCACCATCGGTTGTGATAGTTCACATTGTTGTTGCAGATCATTATTGATGGTGATAGCATATTGCATATCCTTCATTATCTCCAGTACTGTATCACATTAAAATGAGCACAGTATGTTATCACATCACTTTTGTTTCTGATATCATAAGCAGTATAAATGAATATTCAAGAATTTATTAACTTGTTATACCCCACGTTCAAAAATTGGAAGGGCATACAACCCAAACATCCATTTTCGAAACCCTTGGGGAATTGTTACAAATTTCAGAATTTTTCAAAGGAAAAATTCCTTACGCCGCCACATGAGGGTTTTGTGACCCAGCACTGAGTGACTGAGCTCCACTCTAAAAAATCTCCAGTTTTCGGAACTTTTCCAGTTTCAGAATTTCGGATAAAGGGTTGTGGACCTGTACTGTATACACTCATCCTATAAGACAACAGAATCAGGGAGATGGGGTTAAATCTATCTATCCAAGAATTTTTTAGCAGTTGCTGAGAGGTTGATAGAAGAGTGCTGAAATATACCAAAATAGGGTTTTAGTGCAATTTTTTGTTTGCAGCGCACCCTTGAGAAGGAAGCTCGAGCTGCATCACGTCTCATTATCTGGACCGATTGTGATCGCGAAGGAGAAAATATTGGCTTTGAAATAAGTGAAGTGTGTCAGGCAGTTAAGCCATCACTGGTGGTACAGAGGTAGGTAAATTATTGCTGTACCTATGGAAATGCTGCTGTTGGCTGCCACGAGTTGAAGACCTTATCCTATTTTTCATTACAGTATCTAGAAATTTAATATATGATGCTACTTTTAAAGATGCAGTATGCATAACAAGCTTTTATCAGGACTACATTTTACTCAGAATTGAGCTTTATGGTGTATGATAAGAAATGAGTGAAACATAGGCCCAATAAAACCTGTTCTGCATACTATGTCTTTATACCCATATCTGCCACTCCAGATGGTGTTTTTGTTTGTGCTATAGAGTATGCCTTCTCTCACTGATCATTTTCCCAAGACATCACTCTCCCATGGACTAACAGGATACTAGCAATACAGCAGTAGAATGTACTGTTGCAATAATGGGGAACAGCACATGACCTGTTTATTAATACATGACTGGTGGCAAGTTATTTAGGTCTCCTGCCTTGCTTTTTAATGATTTAATTATTAGTGAGACTTCAGTAGGATTTGTTAGTGCTATATATAGAGTGTGTGGGTAATTACTAGTGAGGTAGTCTTGTGGCTGAGTATTTGCTTTTGGGATTTTGCTTGCTAGTTTTGATCCTATGGTGGAAAAGAAGACATTAAGTTTGTTGGCAGTGTCTAGAGGCTGGATGTGTAGTTCGTCTGGTTTTGCCAAGTTAATCTCTTTGTTTCTAGACAGTTTTCTAGAGCCCAAAATTTCAGAGAGAGTTTTCCAGGTCTTTTTCATATTACCTTTTATTTCATTAAATCTGTTTACATAATACATTTGTTTGGACTTCCATATTCATTAGTAAGTATTGAGGTGTATCGTTTAGTTAGTTCTTTTGTTATTAGGCCCTGTCTGAATTGTTTTTCATATAGATGTTTTTTATCGATGGATTTATGTATACTACAGGTCAGCCATCACTAATCTAGCAATCAGTTATCCGGTTCAATCAATAATTCAGCACTAATTTCGGCTAGCATAATTTCAAATTTCATCATTATACTGACTCAAATTTCAGAATTATGCTGACTCAGAAATTGTGCAGATGGTTGTAAATCCACAGCAGCAAGCCAGTGGAGGAGAAAGCAGTGATGAAAATGAGGAAGATATAGCAGAAAGTCTCTCTGTTGATAGGTTAATTAAAACCCTTTCAGGATTTCCGATGTGCTAATACGTTTTATGCACCAGGGCTATTGATGTAGTACTAGTATGCGTAAATTCTAGCGCCTTCAAATCTAGCGCGAGAAAACTGGTAGGCTTACATATGAAAGAATGGGTCTATGTGGTCAGTGTGCACAGTATAAAAAAAATCCTGCAGCACACAGTGCATAATGAGAAAAAAAAAAACTTTGACCATGTTTTTGGTTTAAAACAGCGATTTTGCACTGTATTTTTGTATGATATTTATGGTTGTATTCTAGTTTTCCTGGTCACATTTTATAGAATAGATGACATATTACAGAAATTGAGATGATTTTGATTGGTTCCACAATGAAAAGCACATACCTTGAAATTGAGCTCAAAGTAGTAGAAATGTTCGATTTTTGCCTAGGTTCAAAAGTAAACAAATCATGCCACGCGTCCAATACACGTCAACTGGTGAGTCTAATGTTCTTTCACAAGTGCGCTGATATTATTTATACCATTTCTACACTAATGCAGTAGTCTGCATAACAGTAAATCTTCTATCTTTTGTGAGAATAAAAATTCAAAGTGGAAATCAAAAGAAATGTAAGAGGGGCCTGGGAACGTGACTAATGAACAGAGGAAATGTTATTTTAGTGTCAGGAATGTCTGTCTTGTTTATTCTGGACCCTGTTTGGAAATTGGCATCTTTTGAAATTTGTGTGAACTTGGCAAAATTCCCAATTTCTGACCACTTTATTGGATAGTTGAAATCAGTAAATGGATGGTTTCTTGTACTCATTCGATAGAGAAAATGGAGTTCTAGCGATATAGTTATGATTTTTGTCAACTAGTACACTGGACATGGCCAAAAATAGGGCTCAAAGTGGGCGAAATTGCCAATGCATAAACATTGTCGAGACCGCTAAATTTGCGAGAGCATAATTCTGTAAGTTTTCCATCAAATTTCATACTTTTGGTGTCATTATGATTGGGAAAAGATTCTCTATCACTTCATAAGAAAAAAAATAATTTTCTTTTTCCAAAAAATTTTCGACCCTGAGAACAAGTTTAGGAGAGGGCCTCTCGACCCTGAAAGGTTTAAGTGTATTCTAACCTAACCACTCTGTAATCCGGTAAGCTCACTAATCCGGCACACTACAGGTCCCAGTGATGCCGGATTAGTGATGGCTGACCTGTATTTGTAAGCCAGGGGCTGTTTAGTCTCTTTGCTGAGAGCTGCTTCATTTTCATTGGACAGTGTCTACTATAGAGATTATGGGTTTTGTGTAGAAATGTTTTGACACATTCATCAATATCGTGGCTATCCACTAACTCACCCAGCCAATCAGTGTTACATAAGGCAGTAATAAAATTATTTACTGATGACTTACCATGTAGTCGAAAAGAGATCTTAGTCTTGTCCTGAGGCAATCTACCTAAGATGGTTATGAGAAAAGTTGGGTAATGGTCTGTAGTGTTGTCTTTGATTATGCCTGCTTTTAGTGGGGATGTAGTGTTGGTCCAGATATGATCAAGTGATTCTCTGTGATTCTTGTTGGTTTAGTTATAGATGGTAATAGCAAGCAATTACTCGTAGTGTTTGTGAAATCAGTTACTTGAGGGTTAGCTGTTTGAATGAGGTTTATATTAAAGTCACCAGCAAGTAGCTGGTGTTTATTCAAATCTGGGTCAGTTATCGTGTTTCCTAAGTTGTCACTAAATGTGTATGTATTAGTGTGAGGTAGTCTGTAGACTGCTCCAACTGCTATGGTTTTTTTTAAGTTTTTGGATATGAATGTGGCAAATATATATTCACCATATTCATCCCTGGTGCAGGTAGATTTAATTCATTTTAGTTCATTATAGTAGTAGATAGCAGTACCTCCTCCTGATTGATCAGGCCTACAGTTGTGAATGGCTGTGTAACCAGGTAAGGCAAAGTTGTCAGTTAAATCATGTTTGAACCAGGTTTCAGTGAGAATAATAAAGGATATGTTAACATTTAGAGAATTAAAAAGCACAAGGAGGTCATCATAGTGTTTACTCAATGATCTGATATTGTAATTGAATATTGTTATGTTCTTGTTGACACTGAGTACAGCTTTAGCCTGACTAACAGTGTAGCAATGGCAATTATTGTTAGGATTATTTGTGCTGTTTAACAAGAGGTTAATCTTTCTTTCTTTCAACACACCGGCCGTATCCCACTGAGGCGGGGTGGCCCAAAAGGAAAAACAAAAGTAAGAGGTTAATATAAGGATCAATATTTGCATCCATAAGAGTAATGGAGAATGTATCTAAGTATTAAATAAAAGCAACCAAGGGATAAGCTGTTAAAAAATAAATTGAAAAGCAATTACTAACAACTGCTATTAAGGATGAATATATGGATTGAGACTATTAGTTAAAACAAAAAAGAATGAGTTACTGAGTAGAGTAAGCTAAACTTAAAAAGATAACACTTTAGCACCTGATTGAGCACCTTGATTAGCACCTGCTTTAGCACCTGGTATTGCTGAATAATATAAACTGATAAACAATATAGTAAAAAAATATATATACTACAACTAGTACTATATTAGAACAAGGAAGTCTGAAGTGACTTAATTTGGAAACAAAACTAATTAACATGGTTATTTCATGGATTTCAATGCTAAAGTGGGTAAAAATGTTATGGAGGGAGTAGTAGGTAAATTTGGGGTGCCAGGGGTAAATGTAAATGGGGAGCCTTTAATTGAGCTATGTGTAGAAAGAGATTTGGTAATAAGTAATACATATTTTATGAAAAAGAGGATAAATAAATACACAAGGTATGATGTAGCACATAATGAAAGTAGTTTGTTAGATTATGTATTGGTGGATAAAAGGTAATGGGTAGGCTCCAGGATGTACATGTTTATAGAGGGGCAACTGATATATCGGATCATTATTTAGTTGTAGCTACAGTTAAGTAAGAGGTAGATGGGACAAGAGGAAGGTGGCAACAACAAGTAGGAGGGAAGTGAAAGTGTATAAACTAAGGGAGGAGGAAGTTCGGGTGAGATATAAGCGACTATTGGCTAGTGCAAAGATGAGTAATGGGGGGGGTTGAAGAGGGTTGGATGAGTTTTAAAAATGCAGTATTAGAATGTGGGGTAGAAGTTTGTGGTTATAAAGGAGGGTGGGGGCAGTGGAAAGAGGAGTGATTGGTGGAATGATGAAGTAAAGGGTGTGATAAAAGAGAAAAAGTTAGCTTATGAGAGGTTTTTTACAAAGCAGAAGTGTTATAAGAAGAGCAGAGTATATGGAGAGTAAAAGAAAGGTGAAGAGAGTGGTGAGAGAGTGCAAAAGGAGAGCAAATGATAGAGTGGGAGAGGCACTGTCAAGAAATTTTAATGAAAATAAGAAAAAAATTTGGAGTGAGTTTAACAAGTTAAGAAAGCCTAGGGAACGTATGGATTTGTCAGTTAAAAACAGAGTAGAGGAGTTAGTAGATGGGGAGAGGGAGGTATTAGGTAGATGGCGAGAATATTTTGAGGAACTTAAATGTTGAGGAAGAAAGGGAGGTGGTAATTTCATGCACTGGCCAGGGAGGTATACCATCTTTTAGGAGTGAAGAAGAGCAGAGTGTAAGTGTGGGGGAGGTACGTGAGGCATTACTTAGAATGAAAGGGGGTAAAGCAGCTGAAACTGATGGGATTATGACAGAAATGTTAAAAGCAGGGGGGGATATAGTGTTGGAGTGGTTAGTACTTTTGTTTAATAAATGTATGAAAGAGGGAAGGTACCTAGGGATTGGCAGAGAACATGTATAGTCCCTTTATATAAAGGGAAAGGGGACAAAAGAGATTGTAAAAATTATAGAGGAATAAGTTTATTGAGTATACCAGGAAAAGTGTACGGTAGGGTTATTATTGAAAGAATTAGTGGTAAGACAGAATGTAGGATTGCGGATGAGCAAGGAGGTTTCAGAGTGGGTAGGGGATGTGTAGATCAAGTGTTTACATTGAAGCATATATGTGAACAGTATTTAGATAAAGGTAGGGAAGTTTTTATTGCATTTATGGATTTAGAAAAGGCATACGATAGAGTGGATAGGGGAGCAATGTGGCAGATGTTACAAGTATATGGAATAGGTGGTAAGTTACTAAATGCTGTAAAGAGTTTTTATGAGGATAGTGAGGCTCAGGTTAGGGTGTGTAGAAGAGAGGGAGACTACTTCCCGGTAAAAGTAGGCCTTAGACAGGGATGTGTAATGTCACCATGGTTGTTTAATATATTTATAGATGGGGTTGTAAAAGAAGTAAATGCTAGGGTGTTTGGGAGAGGGGTGGGATTAAATTATGGGGAATCAAATACAAAATGGGAATTGACACAGTTACTTTTTGCTGATGATACTGTGCTTATGGGAGATTCTAAAGAAAAATTGCAAAGGTTAGTGGATGAGTTTGGGAGTGTGTGTAAAGGTAGAAAGTTGAAAGTGAACATAGAAAAGAGTAAGGTGATGAGGGTATCAAATGATTTAGATAAAGAAAAATTGGATATCAAATTGGGGAGGAGGAGTATGGAAGAAGTGAATGTTTTCAGATACTTGGGAGTTGACGTGTCGGCGGAGGGATTTATGAAGGATGAGGTTAATCATAGAATTGATGAGGGAAAAAAGGTGAGTGGTGCGTTGAGGTATATGTGGAGTCAAAAAACGTTATCTATGGAGGCAAAGAAGGGAATGTATGAAAGTATAGTAGTACCAACACTCTTATATGGGTGTGAAGCTTTTGTTGTGAATGCAGCAGCGAGGAGGCGGTTGGAGGCAGTGGAGATGTCCTGTCTAAGGGCAGTGTGTGGTGTAAATATTATGCAGAAAATTCGGAGTGTGGAAATTAGGAGAAGGTGTGGAGTTAATAAAAGTATTAGTCAGAGGGCTGAAGAGGGGTTGTTGAGGTGGTTTGGTCATTTAGAGAGAATAGATCAAAGTAGAATGACATGGAGAGCATTTAAATCTGTAGGAGAAGGAAGGCGGGGTAGGGGTCGTCCTCGAAAAGGTTGGAAGGAAGGGGTAAGGGAGGTATTTGGGACCTGACGATCTGTTGGAGTGTGAGCAGGGTAATATTTAGTGAGGGGATTCAGGGAAACCGGTTATTTTTATATAGCCGTACTTGAGTCCTGGAAATGGGAAGTACAATGCCTGCACTCAAAGGAGGGGTTTTGGGATATTTAGCAATTTGGGGTAGGGGTATTTTAAAATAAACTTTTTAAATTTGCTTTCTGAGCCCCTGAAAAAAGTAATGTGTTGGAGGGGGTTTTTTGAATGATAGAAATTTTTTTTTTTCCCCTGCCTCGGGGGACGGCCCCGACTTAAAAAAAAAATAAAAAAAGTAATTAAAACTATAAATTTATAATAAAAATTTTTTTTTTTGAGGGGGGGGGGGGGAAAAAAATGGGTTGGGGGTTTTGTAAAAAAAAAAATATATGAAAACCCTTTTTTGAAAAATATAATACTTTTAAAAATTTTTTTTTAAGAAATATTTTTTAAATAAGGCAATTTGAAAAAAAAAAAAAAAATTAAGTCCCCTTTGAAAAACATTGGCCCGGGGTTAACCCCCATAATTAAAACTTTTTTAAGGGGTTCAAGGGGGGGGAAAGGAAAGGGCAAGAATTTTTAAGTAAGGCACTTTGAGATCCCAGCTAATGAGTTTTGGGTTGGCGTAGATATGTGCTAGTTTGGAGGTGAAGTGAATTGAAGACTTTTTAGCTTTCAATCTTTAAGGATAGATCTGATTTTAAAAAAAAATCTGTTTGGTGCATTTTTCATTGTGGTTTTGGGAGTTGGGTTTTGGTCCACCAGTAGGACACTTTTTGGTTGATGAACTCCTGATGACAAAAAATTCCATGCGTGTTTTTTTTTAAAAATTAAAAAAAGCCCCTGGGGGAAACAAAACTTTTTTCATTTATATTGGTCAATCGAAATTTGTTTTTTATTTACTACAGGACACTCTGTTATATAAAAAAATTTTCCCAGTGGGCACTTACTTTTTGATATAGCATCCTGGGGTGTTCAGTTTTTATTGTGAGGGGTTTTTTCATTTATGGGTGTTATGGTCTAATGATAGGGTTTCTTTTATTTTTTATTTTGGCTGGAAATAAAAGTTCCTTGTGTATTTTCGTAATAGAAAAATTTTAATGTTTGTTTTTAAAAACCTTAATGTTTAGTTTTCCTTGGTATTACCTTTTCAGTAACAACCTTTTTTTGATGAGTTAGGGAGCTAAATTTGGGGTAATGTGTTTTTTTCCCCTGAATCCTTTCTTGGGTTGGCAGGGGTTAAGGGGTGTCACTTATATGTCTTGTGGTTCACTTGACCCTCTTTTGGCAGGGTGGGAAGATATTAGTTTAATCCCATATGCTCTTGGGCTCTGTGATGCCTCAAGGATAGATGAAGGAAGTTCTCCATTTATTTAATTTGAACATATAACAAGGGATGAGATATATGAGTTGCCCCTTATTGAAAGATCCCTGATGAGGAAATCCACTCATTGTATTGTTTACCAAGATACAGCTGTCATTCCCATTCATTGCACTCATCTAATACATCTTACTCTTCCTCCACACCTCTCCTCACAAATAAGTTCTCCCAGTTGTTGACACTTTTTTAGACTGCCTTCAGCTGTGAGTTATGGTTACAATTTTCAAACATGAGTGAAGTAATCCTTTCAACATTTCAGAGCCAAATTTTCTGAGATTACATTCATGTCTGTGCAGCGAGCATTGCATAATCTTGCAACTCCAGACAAGCTACAGAGTGATGCTGTTGATGTGCGATCTGAACTGGATTTGAGGATAGGTTAGTAAAAGGTTTTTATTTTCAGAATTTATGTATCACAGGGCTTGAGTTCATTTATCATAATTACTGTTTTAAACCAAAGAAAAATTACTTGCTGTTTTCAGTTGGGCCTCTCACTTCCTTTATATCAACTTTCCATCTCAGAAATCTCTACTAACTTACTTGAAGCAAAATCCAAACATCTACATATATGCTGTCTGCTATTGTGCAGGGAGAACACCTTTGAACTTATGTGCTGGTGTATAAAGTGTTTTTAGAAGAGTGACTGATATATATCATCATGATGGCAGCTAGAGTAAGAGTAAGCTGAAATATGAGTAGGTAGAATTAAGAGTGATTAAATTAAAGAAAAAGATTGTTAGTGAGAACTCACGTGACTTGACCTGATCATTTTCTTCTCTCCTTACCTCTTCTCTTTTCCTATATATTCATTGCTTTTCCTGTCTTCTGCCTAGGTGGATTATGTCCTTCAGGGTTTTGTCCCGCTGGGATTTAGTCCTGCCCTCATGGGCCATTAGCTCTCCTGCAGTGCTCCTCTTTTCTGTTTTTCTTAGACAACTATGAAGACTACTCCAATCATTACAGTGACTATGACTACAACAACTATGACTACAATGACTATGACTACAACGACTATGACTATAATGTCTACAACTGCACAACTACAACAACTACAACTGCTGCTGCAGTGGCTGCTACTGTGGCTGCTGCTGTGGCTGCTGTTGCTGTTGCTGCTGCTGCTATGGATGCTGCATCTGCTGCTGCTGCTGATGAAGAAATTAGGAGCAGTAGTAGAAACCACAATGAGGACACTTTTAAGTAAGAGAACCTTCATGAGGTGATTCACTTAAATGTCTTATTTTTCACAGGTGCTGCATTCACCAGGTTTCAGACATTACGATTACAGAAGGTGTTTCCGCAGGCATTGGCTGAGACACTCATTAGTTATGGCTCGTGTCAGTTCCCAACTCTGGGTTTTGTGGTTGAGCGATACAAAGCCATTCAGCAGTTTATTCCTGAGCAGTTTTGGAAAATTAAAGGTACAGTACAGATATTTGGAGGCTAACATAAACCTTTTTTTTGAAGATATGTTTTTTTTGGTGTGTGTGGAAAATAATGAATGTCCTCATTTCAGTACTGTACAAAGAGTTTATTACACTGAAGCAAGAAAAAGTTTGCAACTACAGTATTCTCTTAACAAATCCACCTTTCAAGATAGATAAAATCAAACTATCGTCATACTATTGTTGGCATCTTCGTTGCAAGAGGTTTATCTGTATTAGTCCAGAGTTACTCCTATCTTCAAGAAAAATAGTAGGTCTGATGTAAGCAACTATAGGCCTGTTAGTATACTCAGTATAATATCTAAAATTCTAGAGAGGGCGGTGTATTCTCAAGTAGTTAAGTACCTTAATGACAACAGCATTCTCCATTGCTATCAATCGGGCTTTAGAAGATCCTACTAACCGACACCTCCCTTATTAATCTGATGGATTACCTGAGAACTGAAATGTCAAAGGGGAACCTCATAGGTATGGTAACCTTAGACCTGCAAAAGGCCTTCAATACTGTCAACCACAATATATTATGTAAGAAACTTCAAGCTATCGGCATAGGTTCTGTAGACTGGTTTAAGTCTTACCTTAGCAACAGGAGACAAATAGTCAAAATCAACAAAACGGAATCAGAACCCCTGCCAATAACATGTGGAGTTCCCCAAGGTAGTATTCTGGGTCCCTTATTATTCTTATGTTATGTCAATGATATGCCTATCAGTGTCAAGTGCAAACTCCTACTGTATGCAGATGACAGTGCTCTGTTAGTGACAGGTAAAGACCCACAAGATATTGCTAATGTTTTAACACTGGAACTGGAGTCCTGCAGCAAATGGTTAGTAGACAACAATGGAAATAAATGGTATAAAATACCGACACAATGGCAATATAAACACAAATGCAGTATAATGTGATCCTTTATTGACTACGTTTCGCCCACACAGTGGGCTTTTTCAAGTCACAAACAGAACTACCTGGGGTGGAAGGAACGCGAGTATTTATAGTCCGGCTGAGGTCAGGTGAAGAATGCTGCATCTGATGATGTACCGAGTTGGGTTGTAGAGTCTAAAAACTTGGGTAGCTTGGAAAGGAGACTGGACAAGTTTGTGAGCAGACCTTCTACAGTGTTCTTATGTGGGATAGCGATGAAGAAGTTTCTTGGCAAGTGGTTCAGCTATGTTATAGAAGCCACTATTCTGGTTGAAGTTGTCGGATATAGAAATAAGTGATGATTCCAGGATTCTTCGGTATTGGGTGTTGTCTTCTGTGGCGATAAGTCTTGAGTTTCTGTAGTTTATCAAGTGGTTGTGTGAATTACGGTGTTGTACGCATGCATTCCTTGTGTCGTCAGACCTGCTTGCGTATTGGTGTTCTGAAATACGTGTTTGGAGGTCCCTTGATGTTTCGCCCACGTATAACTTGTTGCAGTCATTACAAGGGATTATGTATACCCCTGCAGAGGATGGAGGCTTGTCCTGCCTACTACTGGTGATGTCCTTGATGGTCGTGGTTGTGGAGGTAGATACTTGGAATGATGTTTTGGCAAAGATGTTGGAAACATGTTTGGCAATGGAGTTGGTGGGAAGGACTATGTATCTCTTCTCGGCAGTGTCTTCTCTGGGTGTGTTGAAGATGTTTAGTGCTCGCCGTCTGCAGTCTCTGATGAAGTGACGAGGATAGTGGAGTTTGGAAAATACCTGTTCAATTATAGTGCATTCTTCCTCAAGGAACTCGTTGCTGCAGATTCTGAGTGCACGCAGGAAGAAGCCTATAATTACACCACGTTTGGTTTTGGTGTCGTGGTGAGAGTAGAAGTGGAGAAGATCGTCGACAACACTCTTCCTTTCCTTGATGTTCTACTCTGCAAAGCTGACCACGAACTTCGTTTTAAAGTCTATCGAAAACCCACCAACCAAAACGATCTTCTCCACTTCTACTCTCACCACGACACCAAAACCAAACGTGGTGTAATTATAGGCTTCTTCCTGCGTGCACTCAGAATCTGCAGCAACGAGTTCCTTGAGGAAGAATGCACTATAATTGAACAGGTATTTTCCAAACTCCACTATCCTCGTCACTTCATCAGAGACTGCAGACGGCGAGCACTAAACATCTTCAACACACCCAGAGAAGACACTGCCGAGAAGAGATACATAGTCCTTCCCACCAACTCCATTGCCAAACATGTTTCCAACATCTTTGCCAAAACATCATTCCAAGTATCTACCTCCACAACCACGACCATCAAGGACATCACCAGTAGTAGGCAGGACAAGCCTCCATCTCTGCAGGGGTATACATAATCCCTTGTAATGACTGCAACAAGTTATACGTGGGCGAAACATCAAGGGACCTCCAAACACGTATTTCAGAACACCAATACGCAAGCAGTCTGACGACACAGGAATGCATGCCCTACAACACCGTAATTCACACAACCACTTGATAAACTACAGAAACTCAAGACTTATCGCCACAGAAGACAACACCCAATACCGAAGAATCCTGGAATCATCACTTATTTCTATATCCGACAACTTCAACCAGAATAGTGGCTTCTATAACATAGCTGAACCACTTGCCAAGAAACTTCTTCATCGCTATCCCACATAAGAACACTGTAGAAGGTCTGCTCACAAACTTGTCCAGTCTCCTTTCCAAGCTACCCAAGTTTTTAGACTCTACAACCCAACTCGGTACATCATCAGATGCAGCATTCTTCACCTGACCTCAGCCGGACTATAAATACTCGCGTTCCTTCCACCCCAGGTAGTTCTGTTTGTGACTTGAAAAAGCCCACTGTGTGGGCGAAACGTAGTCAATAAAGGATCACATTATACTGCATTTGTGTTTATAGTAGACAACAAACTATCATTACACCTAGGGAAAACTGAAGCCATTCTCTTTGGCACGAAACATAAACTGAGAAGGGTAAATAATTTTTAATGTTCAGTGTAATGGGGAGCCATCACTTTGGTTTCATCAGTAAAATATCTGGGAATCCCCTTTGACCCATGCATGTCAGAAGAATTGATAGGGAACAGTGTAGTAAAGAAAGCGAATGCCAGACTGAAGTTCCTGTATAGACAAGCACAGTGTCTACCTACTGAGGCTCGCAGGACCCTATGTCTAGCCCTTATACAATGCCATATGGATTACGCTTGCTCTTCATGGTACTCTGCCTTGACAAAAAAACTGAAAGATAGACTGCAAATCACCCAGAACAAAATCGTAAGATTCATCCTGGGGCTGGGACCAAGAGAACATGTAGGCCAGGATGAATTACAGTAGTTGGATATGCTGAATGTTGAAGACAGAGTAAAACAACTGAAGCTAAATCATGTTTATAAAATTGCTCACAAACAGTGTCCAGAATATCTTGCTGTCAATTTTGTCAAGGTTGGGAACCAAAGCAATCATAGTACTAGGGGGAGAGAGCACAACTTTGTAGTACCCACAGTCATTGGCCAGGCGTCAAACACCTTTTATTGTACAGCAATAAAGGAATGGAACAGACTACCCGCACATGTCAAAGCCAGTCATAGCATGAACCAGTTCAAGAAGAGTGCCAAAAGGTGTCTGATGAATGTAGCTACAGAAAGGGAGGGGAATGATTTTCTTTTTTTTAGCTAACATACGTGTAAATTTTACCTTATTCCTAGTAATGACCCTCGTATTGTAGATAGTCTTAATGACCCTCGTGTAGTAGATAGTCTTTTTAGTATGATAATAAGATGTTATCTTCATTGTAGAATAATAAGAAAATATTATAACCTTTATATTATAATAATAAGGTAAAAGGACCCCAATGGAAATAAGTCACTCTGTCTGACTTTTTTGGGTTATCCTAGGTTCTCTACACATATGCTGCTATGTATGATAATTCTATGTAACTGTATTTGTGTATACCTGAATAAACTTACTTACTTACTTACTTACTTACTTACACTGTTAATGTATCTAATCTCAGCTTGTAATATTTTAACAAAATAACAATTTTAAAATAAACCACACCATATTACAATCTGTAATAATTTGTATCTTGTGATGTTTGCAGTCACACATGCTGGAGAAGAAGGTGTTATTGAGTTTTCTTGGCGGCGTGTACGGCTGTTTGACCAAGCAGTGTGTACAGTGTTGTTTGAAATGTGTGAAGATAATCCACAAGCACGAGTCACAAAAGTGATCACTAAGAACAAGAGCAAGTGGCGGCCTCTGCCCCTGGATACTGTGGTGAGTTGTGTATTAAAACCTAAAAAATATATAATAATTAGTGTAACATGTTATTCTTAGTTTCTTTTTATTTTTAAGCTGTTTCATTTTACAGTTAGGTAGACAGCTTGTGTTTTAGCCATGCTCTACAAAACTCACATGAAATACATTACTTACTGGCAGAAACAAATGTATCACTGAGAGAGAGAAACACATAAATATTGGAAAAATAAACACATAAGCTGTATAATGTGAGCCTTTATTGACAACGTTTTGCCCACACAGTGGGCTTTATCAAGTCACAAACAGATCTACCTGGGTGAAAGGTGCGTGAGTATTTATAGGATGGAGTCAGGTAGAGAATGCTGGGTACGTTGGATCTGATGAGAACCTGCATGGGACTGGCGGGTGCACAGTTTCTTGGCAAGGGGTTCAGCAAAACAACAGTTTCTATAACATAGCTGAACCCCTTGCCAAGAAACTTCTTCATCGTTATCCCACATAACTACATATGCACCCGCCAGTCTCGTGCAGGTCCTCATGAGATCCAACCTGCCCAGCATTCTCCACCTGATTCCATTCTATTAATACTCATGTACCTTTCACCCAGGTAGATCTGTATGACTTGATAAAGCCCACTGTGTGGACAAAACATTGTCAACAAAGGATCACATTATACTGCTTATGTGTTTATTTTTCCATTGTGTCAGTATTTTATACCATTTATTTCCATATGAATATTACTGACATTGAGACAAATATATTACTGAGAAATGGGTATTACTGAGAGAGACATGTATGTTCTAGAGATAAGTGTGTTACTGAGAGAGATTTCTCAGAGAGACAGGTATATTACAGAAATGTGTGTTATTCGGGAGCAAGGGGCTAGTAACCCCTTCTGTATAAATTATTAAGTTAAAAAAAGAAAAATTTTTGTTTTTCTTTTTAGGTCACCCTGCCTTGGTGGGATACAGCTCATTTGTTGAAGAAAAAAGTGTTTTTGAGAGAAACACAAGTGTATTACTGAGAGTCAGAGAGAGTGAGAGAGGTGTTGATAATAAATTTTCTAAAAATTAGGATATAACGTTAACCCCTTGAGGGTCCGTGCCGTAGATCTATGGCTTTACGTTGAGGGTCCAAACCGTAGATCTATGTCATGAGCTCAGCTCACTCTGATAAGCTCTGAGCGGTAAAATTTGGCCTTGATATGAGAGAATACATCTATGTGGTATGTGTGCACCACATAAAACAAATCTGCAGCACGTAGTGCAGAATGAGAGGAAAAAACTGAGACCGCAATTTTTGATTAAAACAGCAAATTTGCAGTGTTTTTCGTATGTTTTTTATAGTTGTATTTGTGATTTCTTGGTCTCAATTGATAGAATGGAAGACATTTTACAGAAATAGAGATGATTTTGATTGGTTTTAATACTAGAAATGGCTTGAAACTGAGCTCAAAGTAGCGGATATATTAAATTTTTGCCGATGTTCAAGAGTAAACAAATGACCTCACACGTCTAATATACGCCTGCTGGTGGGTCTAATATACGTTCACAAATGTGGTGATATTATTTATGCAATTATTACAATATTGCATAACAGTAAATCTTCTATTTTTTTGATTTGAATAAAAATTCATTGTGAATAAAAAATCAAAATGGAATTCATTAGTAAAGCCTGAAAACATAACTAATGAACAAAGGAAATGTTAGTTTAGTGCCAAGAATGCCTGCATTGTTTATTCTGGACCCTATTTTAAAATTGGAGTATTTTGAAATTTACATTAAATTGGCCACTTTGACTTGGCGAATTCTTGTGTTCAGTCGATAGAATAGAAGTAATACTAAAAACATCCTCAGATATCCTAAGACTGATTAGGATTGCACCTGTCTATAAAGTGTAGATCCATCTGATTGAGTATACTATAACATTGTACTCCTAAAACTAGAGCACTGTGGAAGAATAAAGAGATCATGCATTCATCCACATATAGTTTTACCTCAATGACAGACTCCAACATGTGACTATAAAGAACACCAATTTATTTTCTCAACCCATCAACATAAGGGGTTGCAAGGCAGTGTCCTAGAACCACTCACTTTGTTTTTTACACTAATGACCTACCTAGTCATTGTGGTAGTCTACAAGCCTCCGGATGCAACATCCCAGCAATTCCAGGAACAGCTGTTAAAAATTGACCACTGTCTGGAAAACCTTCCAGCTCCTGCACCCAACATCTTGCTCCTGGGAGATTTCAACTTAAGGCACCTAAAATGGAGGAATATAGCAAATAATATTGTTGCAGTAATAACACCAGGAGGCAGCTCTGATGAAAACTCACACTCACGCGAGCTTTTAAATCTCTGCACAAAATTCAATTTAAACCAGCAAATAATAGAGCCTACTAGACTGGAGAATACACTAGACCTCATCTTCACTAACAATGATGATCTGATAAGAAATGTCACCATATCAAAAACAATATACTCAGATCACAACATAATTGAGGTTCAGTCATGTATGCGAGGAGCCCCAGACCGACATAATGAGACTAGTCACGAGGGAGCATTCACCAAATTCAACTTCAATAACAAAAACATAAAGTGGGACCAAGTAAACCAAGTCCTAACCGATATAAGCTGGGAAGATATACTAAGCAACACAGACCCCAACTTATGCCTAGAACAGATTAACTCGGTGGCACTCGATGTATGCACAAGGCTTATTCCTCTAAGAAAAAGGAGGAGTAGATGTAAAACAGAAAGAGACAGGCGCTCCCTTTACAGGGCGACGGAAAAAGAATAACAGAGCGGCTAAAAGAGGTCAATATATCTGAAATGCGTGGGGAGACACTGGTCAGAGAAATAGCAAGCATCGAACTTAAGCTAAAAGAATCCTTTAGGAGTCAGGAATCGCGGGAAGAACTAAAAGCCATAAATGAAATCGAAAGAAACCCAAAGTATTTCTTCTCCTATGCCAAATCAAAATCGAGAACAACGTCCAGTATTGGGCCCCTACTTAAACAAGATGGGTCCTACACAGATGACAGCAAGGAAATGAGTGAGCTACTCAAGTCCCAATATGACTCAGTTTTTAGCAAGCCGCTAACCAGACTGAGAGTCGAAGATCAAAATGAATTTTTTATGAGAGAGCCACAAAATTTGATTAACACAAGCCTATCCGATGTTATCCTGACGTCAAATGACTTCGAACAGGCGATAAATGACATGCCCATGCACTCTGCCCCAGGGCCAGACTCATGGAACTCTGTGTTCATCAAGAACTGCAAGAAGCCCCTATCACGAGCCTTTTCCATCTATGGAGAGGGAGCATGGACACGGGGGTCGTCCCACAGTTACTAAAAACAACAGACATAGCCCCACTCCACAAAGGGGGCAGTAAAGCAACAGCAAAGAACTACAGACCAATAGCACTAACATCCCATATCATAAAAATCTTTGAAAGGGTCCTAAGAAGCAAGATCACCACCCATCTAGAAACCCATCAGTTACACAACCCAGGGCAACATGGGTTTAGAACAGGTCGCTCCTGTCTGTCTCAACTATTGGATCACTACGACAAGGTCCTAAATGCACTAGAAGACAAAAAGAATGCAGATGTAATATATACAGACTTTGCAAAAGCCTTCGACAAGTGTGACCATGGCATAATAGCGCACAAAATGCGTGCTAAAGGAATAACAAGAAAAGTCGGTCGATGGATCTATAATTTCCTCACTAACAGAACACAGAGAGTAGTCGTCAACAGAGTAAAGTCCGAGGCAGCTACGGTGAAAAGCTCTGTTCCACAAGGCACAGTACTCGCTCCCATCTTGTTCCTCATCCTCATATCCGACATAGACAAGGATGTCAGCCACAGCACCATGTCTTCCTTTGCAGATGACACCCGAATCTGCATGACAGTGTCTTCCATTGCAGACACTGCAAAGCTCCAGGCGGACATCAACCAAATCTTTCAGTGGGCTGCAGAAAACAATATGAAGTTCAACGATGAGAAATTTCAATTACTCAGATATGGTAAACATGAGGAAATTAAATCTTCATCAGAGTACAAAACAAATTCTGGCCACAAAATAGAGCGAAACACCAACGTCAAAGACCTGGGAGTGATCATGTCGGAGGATCTCACCTTCAAGACCATAACATTGTATCAATCGCATCTGCTAGAAAAATGACAGGATGGATAATGAGAACCTTCAAAACTAGGGAGGCCAAGCCCATGATGACACTCTTCAGGTCACTTGTTCTATCTAGGCTGGAATATTGCTGCACACTAACAGCACCTTTCAAGGCAGGTGAAATTGCCGACCTAGAAAATGTACAGAGAACTTTCACGGCGCGCATAACGGAGATAAAACACCTCAATTATGGGAGCGCTTGAGGTTCCTAAACCTGTATTCCCTGGAACGCAGGAGGGAGAGATACATGATTATATACACCTGGAAAATCCTAGAGGGACTAGTACCGAACTTGCACACGAAAATCACTCACTACGAAAGCAAAAGACTTGGCAGACGATGCACCATCCCCCCAATGAAAAGCAGGGGTGTCACTAGCACGTTAAGAGACCATACAATAAGTGTCAGGGGCCCGAGACTGTTCAACTGCCTCCCAGCACACGTAAGGGGGATTACCAACAGACCCCTGGCAGTCTTCAAGCTGGCACTGGACAAGCACCTAAAGTCAGTTCCGGATCAGCCGGGCTGTGGCTCGTACGTTGGTTTGCGTGCAGCCAGCAGCAACAGCCTGGTTGATCAGGCTCTGATCCACCAGGAGGCCTGGTCACAGACCGGGCCGCGGGGGCGTTGACCCCCGGAACTCTCTCCAGGTAAACTCCAGGTACCAAATGCATCTCGACAACTTAGGCCAATCTTATTCATGGATGACACTACAGTGGAACCTCAAAAATTGAACTGCTCCCAACTCAACCAATTATGTAAGTGTATTTTTGTAAGTGCTTTTGTAAGTGTATTTTTGAGGGTCTGAAATGGACTAATCTAATTTACATTATTCCTGATGGGAATAAATTCGTTCGGTAGCGACACTTGAACAGCCTTCTGGACCGAAGAAAGTTCTATATTTGAGGTTCCACTGTATTTATGTGATCTTCGACCTAGATCCAGTTGAACTCAACAACAGTTAATTTTGAACTAGAAAACATATCATCCTGGATGACAACAAATAAACACTCATCATTGACAAGTCATACTACAGTGTTTGTTATTTAAGTATGCTGGGTGGAAGGCACTCAGCATAATTCAGTGTTCAAAGTAATACCCTACCCTGGTAGGTTTGTGAATAAGACAAAAATTATGCTGGCCTAGCATCTCTAAGAGGAATGTCTTAGGATTCCCTATGGCCTTCTAGTCTTGTGTGGTGGATGGTTTTGTCATTGGTTCCCCTTTGCTGTGTAGTCTTGAGGGCTGAGTTTGTCAGACATTTTTGTATATTGATGAATTAAAATAGGCAGGTGTAATTTGCTGACAAAAGAGACAGTTGCAAGAAGCCATAATCGTGTGTGTCCTGTAAGGACCTGGTTACATCGGTTCCTCGAGGACAGTGTTGATGATGTGCCCATACCAAAAGCATGTCCAGGAAAGCCTAGATGAGCATCCCCACTAATGTTATCTGTAATAACGAGCCTAGAATTGCTCTGTTATCATTTGACCAAATCTTTCACTTAGTGGAGTGCAAGGTTTTTATGCAAGACAGAAAAGTGTATTTCTGTGATGCAAGTGTATTACTGAGAGAGATAGAAGTGTATTACTAAGATACAAATACTGTATATTGCTGTGACAAGAGTATTACTGAGAGAGAGACTAATGTATTACTGTATTCAGACAGACAGACAGATGTGTTACTAATATACAGGTATCACTGAGAGACACACAAGTGTATTATTGAGAGAAATGTGTATTACTAATAGGGATACAAGTGTAATACTCAGAAACACTTGTGTTACTGGTAAGGGCACAAGTGTATTATTGAAAGAGACACAAGTATGTTACTGCAACAAACAAGTGTATTACTGTGGTGACAAGTATGTAAATGTGACAAACAAGTGTGTTACTGTGACAAACAAGTGTGCCACTATGACAAACAAGTGTGCTACTGTGACAAACAAGTGTGCTACTATGACAAACAAGTGTGCTACTGTGACAAACAAGTGTGCTACTGTGACAAACAAGTTCTGAGTTTGTAAAATGTATGAACTTAAACAGCAATAGTGAAAATAACATTAAAAGGTATTTACTATACTTAAATTGCAGGAACTTGAGAAATTAGCATCACGCAGATTCCACATCAGTGCTAAGGAAACTATGAAAATTGCAGAAAAGCTGTACACACAGGGTTACATAAGTTACCCTCGAACGGAAACTAACATTTTTCCCAAAGAGCTTGATCTTCTTCCGCTGGTGGAGATGCAGACTCAAGATCAAAACTGGGGAGGTAGGCCTATATTAAATATACTCATCATTATTTTATTTTACTTTACTTTCTGTACATGTCATATAGAAAAAGAATTATTCTATAATTTGAATGGAAATGATGATGTTACTGCATATCCTTCCAAACTGCCAATATCCCAAATCCCTCCTGTCATATCTGAGTGCCTCTGCAAAGACAGTACTCACCTAGTTGTGGTTGCAGGGGTCAATTCATAACTCCTGCCCCTGCCTCTATACTGGCCTCTACTGGCTCACACTCCTTGCACCATGAGCTTTATCATACCTGTGCTTAAAGCTATGAATGGATCCTGCCTCCACTACATCGCTTTCCAAACTATTCTACTTCCTGACTACTCTGTGACTGAAGAAATACTTCCTAACATCTCTGTGATTCATCTGAGTCTTCAACTTCCAACTGTGTCCCATCTCTGGAACATTCTGTCTCTGTCCACCTTGTCATTTCCTCTCAGTATTTTATATGTCGTTATCATGTCCCCCCATCTCTCCTGTCCTCCAGTGTCGTCAGGTCGATTTCCCTTAGCCTCTCCTCATAGGACATACCCCTTAGCTCTGGGACTAGTCTTGTTGTAAACCTTTGCACTTTCTCTAGTTTCTTTACGTGTATGGCTAGGTGTGCGTTCCAAACTGGTGCTGCTTACTACAATATGGGCCTAACGTACACAGTGTACAGGGTCCTGAACGATTCCTTATTAAGATGGCGGAATGCTGTTCTTAGGTTTGCAAGGTGGCCTTGTGCTGTAGCAGTTATTTGGTTGGTGTGTGCCTCAGGAGATGTGCCTGGTGTTATGCTCACCTCAAGATCTTTTTCCTTGAGTGAGATTTGTAGTCTCTGGCCCTCTAGACTGTACTCTGTCTGCAGTCTTCTTTGCCCTTTCCCAGTCTTCATGACTTTGCACTTGGTGGAGTTGAACTCCAGGAGCCAATTTCTGGACCAGGCCTGGAGCCTGTCCAGATACCTTTGTAGTTCTGCCTGGTCCTTGTCTGATTGTATTCTTCTCATCAACTTCACTCATCTGCAAACAAGGACACTTTGAAGTCTATTCCTTCTGTCATGTCGTTCTCAAGTACCAGAAACAGCACTGGTCCTAGGTCTGACCCCTGTGGAACCCCACTCATCACAGGCGCCCGCTCTGACACCTCGCCACGTACCATGACTCGCTGCTGTTTTCCTGATAGGTCTTCCCTGTCATCCCTGCTTGGTCCTCCAGTTTTTGCACTAATCTCTTGTGTGGAACTGTGTCAAATGCCTTCTTACAGTCCAAGAAAATGCAATCTACCCACCCCTCTCTCTCTTGTCTTACTGCTGTCACCCTCTCATAAAACTCCAGTAGGTTTGTGACACAGGATTTCCCGTCCCTGAAACCGTGTTGGCTGTTGTTGATAAGCTTATTCATTTCTAGGTGTTCCACCACTCTTCTGATAATCTTCTCCATGACTTTACATACAGTGATTAAAAATGTGTGATGGTGAAAATGTTGAATGATGAGGAAAGTGTTTTTTTTTTTTTTTTTTTTTTTCTTTCTTTTTGGGTCACCTTGCCTCGGTGGGAAACAGCTGACGTGTTAAAAAAAAAAATTACTGCAGAGACTGAAGCATGGGCAACACTCCAAGAGTATTTATATTGGCATAATTAATACAAAGTTTAGTTCAGCTAAGCCTTGCTTAATGACCTAGATAGGGACCAGATGAAAGGTTTGTTAAGTGAAAAATACTTTAAATGAATCACTGTTTCTGTAGACACATGTACACGCACACACACATGCACACACACATGCACATACACATGCACACACACATGCACACACACATGCACATACACATGCACACACACATGCGCACACACACACACACACACCTAGTAGCGACCAGTGAAGAGGCGGGGCCAGGAGCTTGGATTCGACCCCTGCAACCTCAACTAGGTGAGTACAACTAGGTGAGTACATGCACACACACAGGAGCTTGGACTCGACCCCTGCAACCTCAACTAGGTGAGTACACACACACACACACACACACACACACACACACACACACACACACACACACACACACACACACACACACACACACACACACACACACACAAACACACAGAGCAGCAAGGGCAAGCACACACACAACTATCCTCAGAACCCCACAACCTATCACACCATCCCAACACACAATACAATCCATACCCACAGCTTCCACCCAACCCCCAACCATAGAATCCCACAGTATGCTACCAGGTCTCCCACCCCCACAGGCCCCCCAAACCACAGTGTTGGAAAGGAAACTGAAGGTATGGTACACAAACGCTGATGGAATAACAAACAAGTGGGAGGAGTGGCACGAAAGAGTCAAAGAGGCATCACCAGACATCATAGCGATCACAGAAACCAAGCTTACAGGTATGATAACAGATGCCATCTTTCCAGCGGGATACCAGATCCTGAGAAAAGACAGAAGGAACGGGGGGGGGGGGGGGGGGGGGGGTGGAGGAGTGGCATTGCTGATCAAACACCGATGGAATTTTGATGAGCTGGAGAGAGGAGACAGCGGAGAAGAAAGTGATTACATAGCGGGAACACTTCACTCTGGTGGTCCCAGGTGATAATTGCAGTGATGTATAACCCACCACAGAACAGCAGGAGGCCAAGGCAAGAGTATGACGAGAGCAATAGAGTGATGGTTGACACACTGGCTGCAGTGGCCAGAAGAGCTCATGCATGCAGGGCAAAGCTCCTGATCATGGGCGACTTTAACCACAAGGAGATCGAATGGGAGAACTTGGAGCCACATGGGGGCCAAGATACATGGAGGGCTAAGATGATGGGGAGGTGGTACTGGAAAAAATTCATGTACCAACACATAAGGGACACTACAAGAGAGAGAGGAGAGGATGAACCAGCAAGACTGGACTTAGTATTCACCTTGAGTAGTGCAGATATTGAGGACATCACATATGAAAGACCCCTTGGGGCCAACGATCATGTGGTTTTGAGCTTCGAATACACAGTAGAGCTACAAGTGGAGGGGGAAAGCAGGAAGGCAAGGACAAATGAAACCAAACTACAGGAAAGGGGACTACACAGGAATGAGGAACTTCCTGAATGAGGTTCAGTGGGACAGAGAACTGGCAGGGAAGCCAGTTAATGAGATGATGGAATATGTAGCAACAATGTGCAAGGAGGCTGAGGAGAGGTTTGTACCCAAGGGTAACAGGAATAATGAAAAAGCCAGGATGAGCCCATGGTTCAACCCAAAGATGCAAGGAGGCAAAAACCAAGTGTGCTAGGGAATGGAAGAAATATAGAAGGCAAAGGACCCAGGAGAATAAGGAGAACAGTCGTAGAGCCAGAAACGAATATGCACAGATACGAAGGGAGGCCCAACGTCAATATGAAAATGACATAGCAGCAAAAGCCAAATCTGACCCGAAGCTGTTATACAGCCACATCAGGAAGAAAACAACCGTTAAGGACCAGGTAATCAGGCTAAGGAAGGAAGGAGGAGAGACAACAAGAAATGACCGTGAAGTATGTGAGGAACTCAACAAGAGATTCAAAGAAGTGTTCACAGAGGAGACAGAAGGGGCTCCAGAAAGACGGAGAGGTGGGGTACACCACCATGTGCTGGACACAGTACACACAACCGAGGAAGAAGTGAAGAGGCTTCTGAGTGAGCTAGATATCTCAAAGGCAATGGGGCCAGATAACATCTCTCCATGGGTCCTGAGAGAGGGAGCAGAGGCACTATGTGTACCCCTAACAACAATATTCAATACATCTATCGAAACAGGGAGATTGCCTGAGGCATGGAAGACAGCAAATGTGGTCCCAATCTTTAAAAAAGGAGACAGACATGAAGCACTAAACTACAGACCAGTGTCACTGACATGTATAGCATGCAAAATCATGGAAAAGATTGTCAGGAGAAGAATGGTGGAACATCTAGAAAGGAATGATCTCATCACCAGCAGCCAACATGGTTTCAGAGATGGGAAATCCTGTGTCACAAACTTACTGGAGTTCTATGACATGGTGACAGCAGTAAGACAAGAGAGAGAGGGGTGAGTGGATTGCATTTTCTTGGACTGCAAGAAGGCTTTTGACACAGTACCACACAAGAGATTAGTGCAAAAACTGGAGGACCAAGCAGGGATAACAGGGAAGGTGCTGCAATGGATCAGGGAATACTTGTCAGGAAGACAGCAGCGAGTAATGGTACGTGGCGAGGTGTCAGAGTGGGCACCTGTGACCAGCGGGGTCCCACAGGGGTCAGTCCTAGACCAATGCTGTTTCTGGTATTTGTGAACGACATGACGGAAGGAATAAACTCCGAGGTGTCCCTGTTTGCAGATGACGTGAAGTTGACGAGAAGAGTTCATTCGATTGAAGACCAGGCAGAACTATAAAGGGATCTGGACAGGCTGCAGACCTGGTCCAGCAACTGGCTCCTGGAGTTCAATCCCACCAAGTGCAAAGTCATGAGGATTGGGGAAGGGCAAAGAAGACCGCAGACGGAGTACAGTCTAGGGGGCCAGAGACTACAAATATCACTCAAGGAAAAAGATCTTGGGGTGAGTATAACACCAGGCACATCTCCTGAAGCGCACATCAACCAAATAACTACCGCAGCATATGGGTGCCTAGCAAACCTCAGAACAGCATTCCGACATCTTAATAAGGAATCGTTCAGGACCCTGTACACCGTGTACGTTAGGCCCATATTAGAGTATGTGGCACCAGTTTGGAACCCACACCTAGCCAAGCATGTAAAGAAACTAGAGAAAGTGCAAAGGTTTGCAACAAGACTAGTCCCAGAGTTAAGAGGTATGTCCTATGAGGAGAGGTTAAGGGAAATCAACCTGACGACACTGGAGGACAGGAGAGATAGGGGGGACATGATAACGACTTACAAAATACTGAGAGGAATTGACAAGGTGGACAAAGACAGGATGTTCCAGAGACTGGACACAGCAACACGGGGACACAGTTGGAAGCTGAAGACACAGATGAATCAAAGTGATGTTAGGAAGTATTTCTTCAGCCACAGAGTAGTCAGGAAGTGGAATAGTTTGGGAAGCGATGTAGTGGAGGCAGGATCCATACATAGCTTTAAGCAGAGGTACGATAAAGCTCATGGTTCAGGGAGAGTGACCTAGTAGCGACCAGTGAAGAGGCGGGGCCAGGGGCTTGGACTCGACCCCTGCAACCTCAACTAGGTGAGTAACTAGGTGAGTACACATACACACACACACACACACACACACACACACACACACACACACACACACACACACACACACACAAAACACACACACACACCACACACACACACACACACACACACACACACACACACACACACACACACAGGAGCTCGGACTCGACCCCTGCAACCTCAACTAGGTGAGTACACACACACACACACACACACACACACACACACACACACACACACACACCAGCCGGGCTGTGGCTCGTACGTTGGTTTGCGTGCAGCCAGCAGTAACAGCCTGGTTGATCAGGCTCTGATCCACCAGGAGGCCTGGTCACAGACCGGGCCGCGGGGGCATTGACCCCCGGAACTCTCTCCAGGTAAACACCCATAATATAACCTGATATGCTGACATGGACGATAATATAACATATCTGATTCCTAATTCATAAAAGATTGGCTTCCATCTTTTTCCTTCCCTCTCTCTCTCTCTTCCGTATCCTTATTGTACCATGGGCATAGTAAGAGATTACTGTATGAACATCTGTGAGCTGTGATTATTCAACTTTCTACCCAAAGATGTCAAAAATAATGCTGGAACAAGTGTAGAAGTTCTCAGTGTTCTTATCTGTTGTTTGGCATGCATAAAAAAAAAAAAGTTTCTTAAGTTCCTCATTCGTAAGTTTGGAAGTTGGTAATACAAAAAGAATATATTTTTGAAGTGTAACATTGGTAGAAAAAATTGTTTCATTAATATAATTATTTCATTAATATAATTACCAGGTAAACACAGGATAACAGAGAAATCTTTAATTTTTAGCCACTAGTAAATAAAATTGCATATCTAGAAATGTAATGATGTTAGTTAATATTGGTGTGTCTAGGCTTTGCTGCTGGTGTGCTGGAGGATGGTCCCAACCCTCGCAAGGGAAAGAAGTCAGATCAAGCACATCCTCCCATTCATCCAACCAAATACACCAGTGACCTGCATGGCAATGATCAGAAGATCTATGAGTTTATTGTGAGGCGCTTCTTGGCGTGCCTCAGCAAAGATGCCAAGGGCCTGGAAACTATCGTTGATATTGAAATTGCTGGAGAAGAAGTAAGTGTCTTGAAGCAATGTGTCTTGATAGATCTGCAATTTAGATAAGTAAATAGATAAATAAAATAAATAAAGTAGATAAAATAAAATAAAAATAAAGCATAAATATAATGGAACTCCAGTTTTCGTATTTAATTCATTTCAGAAGGTCATTCTGAATCTGAAACGTATGAAAACAAGCAACATTTCCCATAAGAAATAATGTAAATACAATTAATCCGTTCCAGACACCCAAAAATATTAACAAAAAATACATTTTTTAAGGTAGAATTGGTTTTTACATAGAGAAAACAACGAGAAATAAATCTTTCTTTCTTTCAACATACCGGCCGTATCCCACCGAGGCCGGGTGGCCCAAAAGGAAAAACGAAAGTTTCTCCTTTTACATTTAGTAATATATACAGGAGAAGAGGTTACTAGCCCCTTGCTCCTGGCATTTTAGTCACCTCTTACAACACGCATGGCTTACGGAGGAAGAATTCTGTTCCACTTCCCCATGGAGATAAGAGGAAATAGACAAGAACAAGAACTAGAAAGAAAATAGAAGAAAACCCAGAGGGGTATGTATATATATGCTTGTACATGTATGTGTAGTGTGACCTAAGTGTAAGTAGAAGCAGCAAGATGTACCTGTAATCTTGCATATTTATGAGACAGACAAAAGACACCAGCAATCCTACCATCATGTAAAACAATTACAGGCTTTCGTTTTACACTCACTTGGCGGACGGTAGTACCTCCCTGGGCGGTTGCTGTCTACCAACCTACTACCTAGGGGAAATAAATATAAAGCATTAATGAAATGGATAAATGAGCATTTAAATCACTATTACATACCTTTATTGAAGACTCTTGTTGGCGTATGGAAAACAGTGAGGAGGGGAGAGGGAGGAGAGTTTGTTTGGAGACAAGACAAAATACCTAAATATGATGTGCTAATATCAACTCTATCGCTTATTTATTTATCACAATTCATCTAATATGACATATTAAACAATATTAATAACATAGAAACATGATATATATACTCTGGTATGAATAAAATATGTCATTATGTATGTGAGGAGTGGTGGTGGTGAGTTTATCAGAGCCACTGACAGCATAAGCCATACATATAGTGGTGGTGGTGGTGGTGGTGGCAGCAGAGGCCACCACCACTATTCATACTGAAACAATGTATGTAATTTATAAATAAGAAATATTTACACTGTAGTTTATAAATAAGAAATATTTACATTTAGCTTGGAGGAGATGCTGGCATTGGTTTAGGGTGGTGGAAAATATGCAGGCGGCATATGTTGTCAGTGGCCCTATATACCTCCAACAACATTGGAGGAGTTAGTTTCATGCCATCCTTTTTCTATCACTTAATCACTTAACCTACTTGCTACACTCTTAATGCTACACTTTTTGCTGGCTGGCGCTATAGCCTTTATCGACTCCTGCTGCTTTAGTATCACACATATCGTAGAATCACTGAAGAAGGCACATTCTCCCCTCTCTCTCAGCCCTTTACCAATGGGCTGGCTGTATGAACTTTGGGCCCATGGTGGCTAATTTCGCAGTCGCACTAAATAGTTAAACACCAAAAACAATGGATTGTTACGAAATGTTTTGGAATGCGCGAAGTAATGCTCACCCGACCAGTGAAATTGGCAGACTGAGATGCATACGCATGCATGAGTGGTGGCGTCCCCACGCGGGCAGTCACATATGATACGTATGATTTCTGGATCAAGGTCCGATATCCGGAACAAAATTTCACCCAAAAAAGGGTTCTAAATCCGAAACATCCGATATCCGGTATGTACGAAAACCAGAGTACTCGTCTAATTGTACTCACCTAATTGTGGTTGCAGGGGTCGAGACTCAGCTCTTGGCCCCGCCTCTTCACTGATCGCTAGTAGGTCCTCTCTTTTTCTGCTTTCTGAGCTTTGTCATAACTTGTCTTAAAGCTGTGTATGGTTCCTGCCTCCACTATATCACTTGCTAGGCTGTTCCACTTCCTGATTACTCTGTGACCGAAGAAGTACTTCCTAACATCCTTGTGACTCGTCTGAGTCTTCAGCTTCCAATTGTGACCCCTTGTTTCTGTGTTCCCTCTCTGGAACATCCTGTCTCTGTCCACCTTGTCTATTCCACGCATTATTTTGTATGTTGTTATCATGTCTCTCCTGACCCTCCTATCCTCCAGTGTCATCAGTCCGATTTCCTTCAACCTTTCTTCATAGGACATTCCCCTGAGCTCCGGAACTAGCCTTGTTGCAAACCTTCGTACTTTCTCTAATTTCTTAATGTGCTTGACCAGGTGTGGGTTCCAAACTGGTGCTGCATACTCCAGTATGGGCCTGACGTACACAGCGTACAGTGTCTTGAACTATTCCTTACTAAGGTATCGGAACGCTATTCTCAGGTTTGCCAGGCACCCATATGCTGCAGCCATTATCTGGTTGATGTGTGCCTTGGGAGACGTGCTCGGTGTTATGGTCACCCCAAGATCTTTCTCCTTGAGTGAGGTTTGCAGCCTTTGTCCACCTAGTCTATACTCTGTCTGCAGTCTTCTTTGCCCTTCTCCAGTCTTCATGACTCTGCATTTGGCAGGGTTGAAATCGAGAAGCCAGTTGCTGAACCACGTGTCCAGCCTATTCAGGTCTCTTTGTAATCCTTCCTGATCCTCATCTGATTTAATCCTTCTCATTAGCTTCACATCATCTGCGAACAGGGACACTTCAGAGTCTATCCCTTCCACCATGTCATTCACATATATCAAAAATAGCACTGATCCTAGGACTGACCCCTGTGGTACCCCGCTCGTCACAGGAGCCCACTGTGATACCTGGTCATGTACTATGACCAATTGTTGCCTCCCTGTCAGGTATTCTCTGATCCATTGCAGTGCCCTTCCTGTTATATGTGCCTGATCCTCCAGCTTCTGCACTAATCTCCTGTGAGGAACTGTGTCGAAGGCCTTCCTGCAGTCCAGGAAAATGCAATCAACCTACCCCTCTCTCTCGTTTCTTACTTCTGTTACCTTGTCATAAAACTCCAGAAGGTTTGTGACACAGGATTTGCCTTCCATGAATCTGTGCTGGTTATTGTTAATAGTTATGTTTTGTTCCAGGTGCTCTACCACTCTCCTCCTGATAATCTTCTCTATGACTTTGCATACTATACATGTCAGAGACACTGGTCTGTAGTTTAGTGCTGCGTTTCTGTCTCCTTTCTTAAAAATGGGGACTACATTAGCTGTCTTCTATACCTCAGGTAGTTGCCCAGTTTCAAGGGATGTATCGAAGATTGTGGTTAGTGGCACGCACAGCGGCCCTGCTCCTTCTCTAAGGACCCATTGTACAGTGGACCCTCGGCTAACACCTTTAATCCGTTCCAGAGAGCTAGCCTTTAGCCGATTTAGCCTTTAGCTGTATTAATTTTCATTATAAGAAATAATGGAAATCCAATTAATCCGTTCCAGACACCCAAAAGTATTAACCCTTTCAGGGTTGATGCCGTACTAGTACGCATAAATTCTAGCGCCTTCAAATCTAGCGAGAGAAAGCTGGTAGGCCTGTGTATGAAAGAATGGGTCTATGTGGTCAGTGTGCACAGTATAAAAAAAATCCTGGAGCACACAGTGCATAATGAGAAAAAAAAGACTCCGACCACGTTTTTGCTTTAAAACAGCGACTTTGCAGTGTATTTTCGTATGGTATTTATGGTTGTATTCTAGTTTTCCTGGTCTCATTTTATAGAATGGAAGACATATTACAGAAACTGAGATGATTTTGATTGGTTTCACAATGAAAAGTACCTTGAAATTGAACTCAAAGTAGCAGAAATGTTCGATTTTTGCCCAAGTTCAAAAGTAAACAAATCATGCCACGTGTACAATACACATCAACTGGTGAGTCTAATATTCTTTCACAAGTGTGCTGATATTATTTATACCATTTCTACACTAATGCAGTAGTCTGCATAACAGTAAATCTTCTATTTTTTTGTGAGAATAAAAATTCAAAGTGGAAAGCAAAAGAATTGTAAGAGAGGCCTGGAGATGTGACTAATGAACAGAAAAAGCTATTTTAGTACCAGGAATGTCTGTCTTGTTTATTCTGGACCCTGTTTGGAAATTGGCGGCTTTTGAAATTTGTGTGAACAATTTCTGACCACTTTATTGGATAGTTGAAATCAGTAATGGATGATATCTTGTACTCATTCGATAGAAAAAATGGAGTTCTAGTGAAATAGTTATGATTTTTGTGGACTGGTACATAGGAATTGGCCGAAAATAGGGCTCAGAGTGGGCAAAATTGCCAATGCGTGAATATCGTCGAGACCGCTAACTTAGCGAGAGCATAATTCTGTAAGTTTTCCATCAAATTTCATACTTTTGGTGTCATTATGATTGGGAAAAGATTATCATTTCATAAGAAATTTTTTTTTTTTTTTTTCGAAAAATTTACAACCCTGAGAACAAGTCTCTGAGAGGGCCTGTCGACCCTGAAAGGGTTAAACAAAATAATTTGTTTTAAATGAAATATACATTTCCCTACACAGAAAACAATGATACATGCACAATAAACAATACTGAAATGACACTTACCTTTATTGTGGACTTGTTGATGAGTGATGAGATGGGAGGAGGGAGAGGATGAAGGTGTACTAGTGTTTAGAAGGGGAATCCCCTTACATAAAAACTTCAGGTAACAAGTCCTTTTCTGAGGTTACCTCCCCTCTTGGTTTTTTAATGCCACTGGGAACAACTTGAGAGTCACTGGACCCCTGTCGCACAAAATATTTGTCCAGAGAGCTCTGTTTTTCACGTCCCTTTAAGATTTACCTAAAATGGGACACAAGAGTGTCATTGTACATGTTGCTACTTCGGATTGCAACAGCTGTGTCAGGATAATATTCTTCCATAAATGCTTGCAACTTTGTTCACATTGTACACATTTCCTTAATCTTTGACGAAGGCAACTTCCTCCGTCTCTCTTCCTCCTCCT